CCCCCGCGGCTGCTGCCTTTCAGTGGTGGCTGAGGATGGGTCAGTTGATCATCTCCCAGCAGCCCCATCAAAGATGCCCCAGTTTGAACAGGAGCTCCTGTACCTGCCACCATCTCTGAGGTTTAATCCTGTTGCTGGTGCCAGTTCTAATTGCGGTGAAGAATTGTCTGGTGGTAAATTCCAAAAGTCTGCAGAAATAAAGCAGAAGTTTTCTAAAGGCTGAGGCTTCTTCAAACAGTTTTATGTGACATTCCCCTTCAGCCATGACTCAATACGGGCTTCAGAGCGTCGGTGAGGGTGGTTCATGCTGCAGCACAGGGAGGTCCTGCAGCACAGGACAGACTGCTCTCCTAAGAGGGCTCGGAGTTGAAGTCAACCTGCTGATCCTTCTTAGCTTGCAGGTAGTCCTGCTTCCCTGTGTTGTGTAGGGTTTTTACTCCCCCTGGCAGAGCTGGTCTCCCTCCCAGCCCCCAGGAGTGGCCACCAGCCCCCTGTGCCCGCGGGGAGCAGAGGCCGGGTGCGCTGATGTTCATCCCGTATCATCAGATCATAAACAGACTGATAGGAAGGAAGCAACTCCAACTTGGGGAAGCAGAAGATGTGCAGTTGGAGGGAGTCCTGGGAATTTCTGAGCCCAGTAAAACCTCGTGGTTCTCTCCAGCCACTGTCATCTCCTGCCGTGTTTCATTATCATTCTGATATCTTTGTGCTATACCAGTTGTGACTGGTATGAATCAGTGCTCACCAGGACCTCACTAGCCCTGTGGTGCTGATGGAGCCTTTAACTGGGTCCTCAGGTAACCTGCGTGAGAGGACTGGCACTTTGGGCATGGGGTGACTCAGGTTGTGGGGCAGGGATCATTGTGGGGCTGACTCAGCAGCACTCAGCGACCCCTGAGCTGCTTCTGCCCCCAGCTCAGCTGCGCTGGAGAGCTGGTGTTGTCCAGATCCTTTTGGCTCAGCTGTCCCCTCAGTCTGTCAGAGGGCAGGTGACTTTCTGTAGCCCTTAGGACAGAGGTTTGAAGGGCTGGTAGATGGCAGGGTGGTGTGCCGTGAGGGAGCTGCTGTTGAAGAGCCAGGTTCTGGGGTTAGAATGGCTACTGCCATCCTTTAGTAACCAAAGAGCTCCATGAAATGCAGCCTGTGACACCCGGATGAAGCTGCTGCTGTTAAGATTATTATTTTCATAGAGAACCAGAGATGGCTTCTATCCCAGATCTTTCTAATACTCCTGATTTCCTGAAATCCTTCCCCCCACTTTTTTTTTTTTATTATTTTTTTGAAGGAGCCTTGATGTCTGGATTGGATTCAATGATTTTGCAAGTACTGGAGCGCAGCAAAGAGGTGAAGGATTTAATCTGGAGAGCTGTCAGAACTGGCTGCCAGGTGAACCCCATCCATCAAACGCTGACCACTGTGTCCGGATGGGCCCCACGGGCCAGTGTAACACCGACCTGTGCATGGCCAAGCACAGCTACGTCTGCGAGTACAAGCCAAAAGGTGGGCTCTGCTTCTCTCCTGCTGCCCGCTGGCATCGTGGGCAGGTGGGCATCCCATTCCCTGGCATGTGCCAAGGAAAGATGGGGCTGCATGGAGGGGTCATCCAGAGCATCACCCCAGATCAGGTGGGACTGGCAACAACCATGATTTTCCCAACAGAGGTTTGACTGCTAAACTCTCCAGAAACCTGCTTGAGCCCAAAGGGAAGAACTTGGCCCACTCCAATCTCTGCCATCAATAGAAGTAGAGAAGGGGACGAAGCTCTGAGACAGAGCTTTGGAAATAGTTTTGCTCTCTGATTTGAGCACTCTGCTGCTGCCAGGATCTGAGGCCATGTTGCTGCTTTGGTGGCTCTTCCTGTCCTTCTGTGGCATCCTGTAGTGTGAGAGGTGTGATTTAAAAGACTATAGGGCCTTGGGGATCATTAGGTGAGCTTTGATATGATGTCTGCTGTGCAGGTTTGTGTTTCTGCAGCCTCCCAAATCTCCCAAAGTGGTGTAGGGAGTAAGAAAGAAAAGCAGAAAGGACATGAAATATGGGAGAAGATTTAGGTAAGAAGGAAAAGCCAGTGCAAGGAGGAGAGCCCAGTGGCCCTGGTGTGCTGGTGGTGCTCAGTCCCCAGTGCCTGACCTCGCTGTGAATGAGCCAGAGGTGTTGCTGCTGGTGGAAACCAGCTGGTCCTGCCCACATTTCCCGTGAAGTCCAAGGGGACAGGGAGGATGGACAGTGCACATCATGCTCAGAAATTCAAAGCAAATCACGGAGTGTTGGAAGGGAGAAGTATTTGTGGAGTTCCTAGAAATCAAAATTGCTGAGAATTGCAAATGTAAACGTTGCTTGTGCAGGATGAGAAAGAAATCAAAATACCTGTCAGAAAAAGAAGGAAACGACAGGATTACAGCAGCTGCTTCTCCAGGGAAGCTGGAGTTACGGATTCCTGTGTGGTCCAAGCTCTGCTACAGCTTCGCTGCACGGTGTGGGCACGTGTGAGCCGGGTGGGGGAATGACTTCAGGCCTTGGGCTTTGTTCAGCTATTTCCTTAGTTCAAATATTTCCCTTCTAAACAGGAGTTCTCTTAAATGCTGAAAACTTCTTTGTGGGAGACCCTGTGTTCGACACACATGAGGCTGTGAAAACTGTGACAGAAGATGTGCTGTCAGCTCCGTGGCCAGCTGTGGAGGTAGGAGGGGTTTGCTCAGCCTGCTGCTGCAGAGGTGGCCTGAGGCAGGTGAGAGCCGTGTTCGTTTTGCAGGTGCTGGTGTTCCCTGAGCTGGCGTTCAGGCACGAGGGATATTTGACTGCCCTGGAGTTTGTGACACAGGAACTGCATCAGCCCGTCCAAGTGAGGTTCCAGGTGCATAGACCGATAGATGGAGAAGGTGAGGCATCTCCTCAACACTTCTGGTATTGTCAGAGCTGACACCATCAGGGCCATGTCAAACTTGAGTGTGTGGGGCCTTCTTGTGGCCCCTCTGTCTTCAAAGCAGAAGCTTCACTCAATCCCAGCATTGCCTGGACTGGAAAAGCCCTTTAAGCTCATGGAGTCCAACCATGAACCCAACACTGACAAGTCCCCTATGACTAACCCATGTCCCTCAGCACTGTGTCTACACGACTCTTCAATCCCTCCAGGGATGGGGACTCCACCACTGCCCTGGGCAACCCCTTCCAATGCCTCAGAACCCTTTCAGCAAAGAAATTCTTCCTCACATCCCATCTCAACTGCCCTGGCCACAACTGGAGCCCATTTCCTCTTGTCCTGTCCCTTGGTCCTTGGTTGAACAGACCCACCCCCACCTCTCTCCACCCTCCTCCAAGGGACTTGCACAGAGCCAGAAGGTCTCCCCTCAGCCTCCTTTTCTCCAGGCTCAACAACCCCAGTTCCCTCAGCCACAAGGGAACTCAGCACACTTGTGCTCCAGACCCTTCCCCAGCTCTGCTGCCCTTCTCTGGACACACTCCAGCACCTCCATGTCCTTCTTGGACTCAGGGGCCCAAAACTGAACCCGGCACTTGAGGTGTTGCAGCCTTAGAGGCTCAGAGATTTGGTTCTATTTCTTGAGGAGACTAAAGTACAAAATCTGCAGGTATGGTTGGACAGCCTGAGGTTGCTTTGGAGAAGTGATTGTCCTGGAGAAATTAATAGAGGGAGAAACCCATCCCCATGCATGAAGAAAATGTGAGTGTCAGGAACACGCGTAGAAGTGAATTAATCTTCTGGGCTGTACTTTCATACTTTGGGAAGACATGACATGTCAAATGGGAATGTGTTCTGGTCCATCTGGCCCCACAGGTTAACAAGGAAGAACATTTTCCCGAGCCCATTTCTTCCTGATGGATGAGATAATCTAATAAGCCTTTCAGTTCCCGTACAACAGCTCCAGAGTCACAGTTTTGGCAACCATTAATTTTGCAGCAGAATGTTTGCTGCAGCCGTGGGCTTGGCTGGTTACGAAAGGATATTTTTTGACACTGAGAAGCTGATACTTCGACATGGAAACATGAACTTAAGAAAAGTTGCTTCATGTGTTTTCAGTGTCAAAGCCAGTGCGGCTTTTGCTTGGAGTCGCTTTCACTTGAACATAGATCTCTTTTAGATTGCAAATGGATGCATTCTCACTGGGAAAGACTGACTTTGCTTTTAATGATCTTTGTGCCTTTCTGAAGTTTTCCTGTAGAACAGGACACGTGTCTCACATAGTGCCAGGACATGTTGCAGTTGCAGCTTTTACTGAGTGGAGAAGAATAGTGAATTTGGAGCGAAGGAGAAGTGCACTACAAGTGTGACTTGTCAGAATGATGATCTTTGCTTTCTCTTTCATTTCTTCCAGACTACCAGGAGGGGAAAAATGCTACAGAACCATTCCACACTGCTCAGGATGACGGGAACTGGACTCTGCTTGATTGTCCTCCTGGTTTCCAGTGGTGTCATTTGACTAATTTGTGCTCATCACTAAATGACTGCTGCAACGCCACCGAGTGTGCCAACAGTTCTCTTGCCAGCAGCCCTCCCCCCGTTTCCCCTCAGCACAATGACAGCCAGCTCAGCTATGAACTCATCGAGGAATTTCTCTTTACAATACCAGCTGGCCCTTCTTCCCAGTATCTGGTCAGTGTTTATTAGCTGCTGTAACCAGTGAGTAGGTGGGGCAGTTTTCTCTTGAGTGCTTTGGGTAAATAAAGCATTGTTCCCAATTTGCAGATGGAGATACTGAACTCCATTCAAATGAAATGACTTGCCCCGTGTCACACGTCCCACCACTTTCCCATCTTTCCCCCCCTAAGCCCTGGACTCCCTGCAGTCACCTGCTGCCGTAGCACGGTTGGTCAGAAGGCTGCACAGATTTCCTGGGCTGTTCCCGTACTCAGTGGAGATGGTAGAGCATAAAGCTGACTTCTGTGTTAGCATCTTTGGTTCCAAGTGGCCGAGGAGAGCAGAGTGGTGAAATGTCTCCCCATGCTGCATTTGGGTCGGCGGCTTTTCTGCTGGTTTCCACTTGGCAGTAAATCCAGCTGCCTTGTCCAGGCAAGAGCTGGGTGCTGAGTGTTCTTAACTTCAGACATCAATCAAAAATGTCTCTCTCTGCAGGTCACGTTCAGAAAAGAAAGTATTTTTGTCAGAGCTGAGGATATCTTCAGTATCCAGCACAATGCAGACCTGGGCTTACCCCTGCAGTGCCAGCCAAGTACCTCGTCCCCTTACAGAACCAACGTCTTAAGCACAAACTCTTCAGAGTGGGCACTTGGCCTGTCCAACGGCTCCATCGATGCCACCTGGATGAACAACACTGTGTGCTCTCTCCGAGTTCACTACGCTGAGGAACAGCTGGTCCCGGTGATCAGCCCCCACAACGCCGGGCTGGAGCATCCAGGTCTCTACACGGTCAGAGCCAACGTGGACAATGGGATCTTCAGCACCAACCTGTCGTGCAGTTTCTGGGTGACTTCCTGGGTGTCAGGCTTGCGTGTCATCCACCCCGCTCCTCAAGGCAGCAGGGTCTACCTGCCGTCCAACCACACTACCCTGGTTGTCAAACTCTCCTCAGGGGTGAACGCGACAGCTCGCTGGCTGGGGGACAACCACACCTTCCCCTTCGAGGGGTCCTGCCCAGCGGCTCTGGAACGACTGATAGCTGACTGTGCCAGGGAGACCAACGACACCTGGTTTGCTGTGGTCAACCTGAGCGGCCTCAGGGAGGGGGTGAGCACCCACGTCCTTGTTGCGGAGAACTCCGTGAGCTCCCAGAACATCACCATCACAGTGAAGGTGGAGGAGCCCATCCGCGGGCTGCGGGCCACCCCTGACCCCGAGAGCAGAGTCCTGCTAAATACACGAGTGGTGAGTGGTTACTGCTGCTTTTAATCAATCAGGAGCTTTTTTTAGCCTTTACCTCTAAGGGTGTGGGTCTGGCTCACGAGGAGGGCCGGGGCTTGGCTCCACACCGGTCAGGTGCAGCACTGCTTGCAGCTACGCGCTAGCTCCAGGCCGTGCCAACAGCGCTTCTGCAGACACGGGCGTGTGGCAGGAGCACCAGTGCTCTCCAGCAGGAAGGCAGCTCAGCTGTACATTCACTTTAACTTCCTCCAAGGTAAGGCAGAACCTCCTGTGAGGGGAATATTGGCTTTCCAGTTCCACAGAAAACCAATGAAAGGCCAATGAAAGGCCAATATTTATCTTCTTTTGACTTGTCAAGGTAGTTACTCCTTTAGGTGTTAGTAAATCCTCAATTCAGCTGGCTGAAGCTATAAAAATGCTTCATCCTTCCATCAAAGTCTTGGAATTACTCTGGTGTTTGCAGTCTTTTTTGTTCTCCAACCCCTTGTCCCCAGAGCTACAGCCGAGCCCTTGGACCCTGTTCAGTAACTGCCCATCGGTATCTGTGACACGCTCTGCTCGGTCTCTGGCTGCTTCTGGCAGAACCCTGTGCCTGCAATGCCTGTTGGTCTCACCCTTCCTGGCTACCTGGTGTGCTCAGGAGGCACTGGAGCAGGGAGGAGGGAGCTTACCCTGTCCAGTGCAGGTCAATGATTTCAGCCTTTGGGTCAGGCACCATCCATGGATGAGGGTCAGAGACTCAGCTTGCAGGGGTAGCTGAAGCTGAGTTGTTTCTGCAGAGATATCGGGAAGTTTTTTAGCCAGCAAGGAGAGCTGATGACAGGCACAGAGCACTGGGGTGCAGGAGCAGGCACTATGGGTTCTGCTCCCAGTTCTGCTGTTGATTTATGGAGTCGGGGTTGGCATTTCTCTATCAGCAACAAATCTTGCGGCTCTGTGTCGTGCTCTGAGGCATCCCAGTGTGTGATGCCTCCCAGTCTGGCTCTGCTCCCTCTCCAGTTCAGCTGGAGAGCTGGGAAGTGCTGTGCATGCTTTTCTCTTGCGCTAGTGTAAAATGTCCTCATGCCTTTCAGAGCTACGTCCCTGTGATGGAAGCTGGGTCAGATGTGACTTTCCGATGGACAGTAGATGATAAGCCATCTTTCACTTTTTACAATGTTGTCTTCAACGTTATCTACCAAAGCCCAGCTGTGTACAAGCTCTCGGTAAGCCAAGGCCTTTCCCATGGTACCATTTCAGTCCTGAGTTTCCATCTCATCCCACAAACTAAGCAGGAAAAGCAGCAGGGAGAGGAGAAGGCAGAGTTCAGTTGAGGAGGTTTTCACTGTGCTCCTAACGAGCTCCTCTGCTGTTTCTCACTGAGCTGCTCTTGCAAATGCGAATAGTAAGTTTCTTCCTGCTCTTCCCTTACAGCTGACTTCGCTGTCTTCCTCGGCTTTACTTTCTCCTCTTTTTCTCCATGTT